AAAGCAAGATCAAACATTACTCACTTGACATAAACGCCTGAACAGTGGTTCATTATGCAACAGCTTTCGGACGTCTCTCGTAACACCACATAGCTGAAAAATGTCCACAAGTGACAACAAAGTTAATACTGCTGCTTCCCACACGTCAAACTGAACCCTGTTCAGTACAGGCTCGACTGAATTTTGCTACATTGCATTACAGATCTTCAGTTCAGTTACACGGAGGGAGCCCGTTATATCACTGACTGATGCCTCTTGCTGCAGTTCGTCTTGCGCATATCTTTAACCGTCTTCAACAGCAATAAGTAGACCAACCCCTAGGAGAGATAAAACTTAACTTACGATATCGGGCATGCTGCAGGTACAACGCTTTCAGCGGTGGAGAAAACAAATCTCTTCAGCGAATTTGACGAGAGTACACTGACCGTTCGCATGTTTGAAAGCACTGATTTCTACCTTACATGTAGTACTAGTTGTGGTGCGTGTTCTCGTAGTACGCAATAAAGGTCACAAACGTGAGTGGCCGGCACGTATGATTACATACCTATCTCAGTGGGAGTTGTATCACATGGTCCGCAGAGCTCGCGGTAAAGATAGCTCATACCAAGGGTACATAACCAAGAGTGTGCAACTCCTATCTTGAGCTGTGATAGGTTCACCCACGGCAGATTTTTGTATTGCGTCATTCTTTCCCAGAAGCATGACGAAGTGGGTATGCTTTCTCCTGCTTGTTTTGTAGACTCGGTGAGAGTTCGTCCGGTTCAAGAAACATCGAGCCATCGTCCGTTGTTCTGCTTTCAGTACCGTAGCTGTAATGTACAAATCATTAATTTTTGTACTTTGATCTCTGGCTACGCATGATGGCATCAGTGAGCCAACCCGCTGCCAAAGACTGATAAAATAAAAAATATTCCGCCATGGGCTGGGGGTCGTGTAGTTGCACACTCTTGGCTATCTTCTCTTGGTATCTAATCATACGCGTCGGCCACTCACGTTTGTGATCTTCCTTGCGCCCTTCTAGACCCCACAGTCACTACTACTACATGCAAGGTAGAAATCAGTGTTTTCAAGCATGCGAACGGTCAGTTTACTCTCGTCAAATTAGCTGAAAAGATTGGGTTTCTCCAACGCTGAAAGTCATTCTTCTTCTATTGGCCAATACCCACTGCAACTGTCCAAGTAAAGTACACAAACTAAACCTGTAAACTGCCTTTTACCCAAGGTACCTGTTCATCATAAAATGTATGTTGTCGTTGTTTTCCCATGCATATAGAATCGCTATCAGATCAGTCAAAATTTGAAACTTTCGTACATCAGAGTTGCCAAGCACCTCTGAGTCGCAACCAGACTATCCAGCATATATGAAAGCAATGCTGTTTCTGGAAATGACTGTGTTGTGCATAGTGATGATCCTCATGATCAATACCAGGTGTTTAATCAAAGAAACTCAATGTTCGTGAAATTGTGCAGCCTGGCGAAGATGCCGGCTACCGGACGGGCCCAAGCCATTATGCGGTGCAGTCTTCCGCTATCGAAGCCTTTGATCAGTATGCTTTGGCAGTCATCAAAGGACATAACGCTGATCTCGAATCTAGATTACTGATTACTGAATTTGTTATTATTATTACTTGCATGTACGCGTTGGAGTCAACCATGCAAGCATGATCCACAACTTCGCTTATGCTGGACATGATAAACAGGACTATGACAGGGGAAAGAAATTGAGCTAGAACGATGATAAGTATAATGATATAATTATCACGTACAATGTAGCTCCTGGGTATTGAAGATATGTCATTATGAATATGTCTACATGTCATTGAATATTGCAGCCTGAGTGATAATGATAGTGCTATTTCCTGAGTTTGACTGTTTCAGGACCTGTCGGAATATCACGATGCACAGATCTTCATAAATAGATCTCGCCATGCGGGTCGGTCATTGGCAATGGCTCGCAGGCTCTACAGAGGCATACCTCCCGAGCCTCGACATTCGCCGTACCGTAGCAGGGCTCTGCTTTCTGTACAAGCTGCACTTTGTGGAGGGTCCGGAAATGGTGAAAGCCATTTTGCCACCATCAGCAGCCGCACCGCAACACCGCATGCCTACTCGAGCGACAACCAGATCTGCAACACATCATCCATCGCAACTCACCAGTATCCTTCCCCCTCAGGCACGAAACAACACGCTCCGCTCATTTCCCCACTCCCTCATCGAAACGTGGAATCAGCTCCCACCTACCCTTCTGCAGTCTCCCCCTTCTCGCAGAGGCATGCACACGTTCAAGAAAAACGTCAACGACCACTTGCGGCGCAGCAAGTGGGAGTGGGCCACAGACAGGCTATGATCTCTGCCAACACACCAGCCTAATTATACTGACCGCACTCCAGCTCCCTTCTACCCCTCTTTGATCCCCTTCGCTCAGCCTTAAAACACGATTATCAGTTCACTCCATCTTCCTACGGTGCACTGCTTTTACTATTGTTTTGTCCTATCCCAATCTCAAATTCTCCCCATTATCGTTTGCAAAGCCAGTGCTCCCCTCTTGGATGCACATGTTTCTTTTCTCCTATGTATCGGCGCACAGGAGTAACAATGATTCCGAGACCTTTGGTCGGAGGAGTTACTTTTGCCCCGCCCCCACTTCCATCCAATATGCCACCGCCCCCGCTGTGCAGCATCTGATGGTACTGTGGTATTCAGTAAAAAAAAATAAAATAAAAGCGCCTAAATTCCCGAGCAATCCGGCATTGGCTTGGCGCAGATCTCCCACCAATGCCTGCGGCAGGGTCGTTCGCGGTCTACCCCTCCAGCATTTGTGTTGCTGACTGGCGAAGTACGCGAACATAGCCATAACAGCTGGAGATTCATCTGCCATCCGCAGGATGTGGCCAAACAGCCTCCCGTGTGATCTCTTGACCATGACACCCAAAGGTTCAGCTTCGCATCTGGCATAGAGAGCATCATTCGGTATTATTTGTGGCCATTTCACACCGATGAGTGACCTTAGCTGACGGCGTAGGAAGGAATCCAGGCGGGACATAACGGTCACACTGACCCCCCACTGACCCCCACCCCCCACTGACCCCCCACGTACCCGAGTTGTACGTCAGTACTGGAATCATAAAAGTGTTGTACAGCCGCAGACGCTACTTCTCGCTGATGTGCTGATGCCTCTTCCAGAGGCTCCATAGGGACTGAAATGCTGCAGTCGACAGCTGTTTTCGTCGCATAGTATCCTCTTCGTCGCCCGGCGGCGAACCCAGCTTGCGCGTTGTCCTGCACTTCTGAAGATGTCCGAAGATGTCCGTATACATGTACTCAGTTTTGTCCCGGTTCATGATCAAGGACCACTGCGGTAGCACCGTGCTGGCAGTCGCCTCCACGTCCGCCAGCCACGACTTTGAGGTGCTGACAAAGTCTGCATCATCCGTATAATTATACAAATTCGAGCGGCAAACCGTTGTCGCTGAGAGGTCTTGCTGGCACCTCTTGCCTTAGTTGTCGGAGCGCAGCCTCCAGGTAAATCGTGAAGAGAACGAGATTACTGAATGAATGATGTAATTATATTTCTTTTAGAGCCAGCTTGGGTGGACGCAGCACAGGCATTTCGTCGGAATATGTATAGTATATGTATGTTTCCTGTTTCTCTACATTATCTAACGTGGGAGAAACGTTGGGTGCCAGTTTTCCCAACAATGATAGACCATTAGAGCTATCTCACGATCCACCGAGCAGCCTCCCATGACGATAAGAGAATAACTTGTACACAATGGGAAAATGCCGTGATTAGTTAGGAGAGGTTTTGTCACCACATTGGCTCTTGTATAGTAAGTAACAGCTCCATCAAGTGGGACATTGCCGAAAAGACTCACTGGAGAGAGCCAACTGGTAGGTACAAGTAGGCCGCTGTTGGAGTAATTCGAATAATTAGAGTTTAGCTTGAGCTAAATGTATCGCATCAGCGAGCTCGGGGAATAACAGTTCATGATGATAAGATACAACTTCTACTGGGGTAGGTATCTAGTCATACTTGTAGGGCAGTCACGTTTGTGCACGTGACCTTCCTTGCTTAGTACGGGATCTCACTGACTATTGTCACTAGTACTACATGAATTGTAAGGTAGATGTTAGTGCTTTCAAGCACGCGAAGAGTCAGTTGACTCTCTGCAAATCAGCTGAAGAGATTAGTTTTCTCCACCGTTGAAAACGCTGTACCTGCTCCATGCCCGATATTGTCAGTTCAGTTTGTTGCAGCTAAGACCGGCCAGCGTGTAGGATCCAGCGGATAATGCAAGATAAGGTTAAACAAAAATTTCGTGACAAACTAGAATCATGATCATCACCGTCCACTGCCTATCGACACTACTGATTTGCAAGCACAACGAGAACATCGTTGTGAAAAATATGTGACTGCTGCTTCATTTTGTTAGTGCGTGAAAATCGGAGTAAAAACACTTTCTCTGTCCTCCTATTGTTTCAACCAGCTCTACCACTCCCGTATTGAGAATTCTCTTGGACAGCCTGGAACCTCTCTGTTTTATTACTTTTGTTATCAATAATAATATTATTGTCTGTGCATTCCCAAAAGACGTCATGTAGAAGTACGACCACTACGTGTCTAAGTATGCACTGTAATACAATCACGTGTCCAGTAGCTGTTCTGTGCTTTGCACGTAAGACAAGTGATATTAATTAATTATTTCATCAGCGCATAATCGTCACTGCCGAAACAGCAAACTGGCAACAGCCAACTGTTAGGGACAAGTGGGATTCTGCTGGATCACTTAGACTGTAGAATAAGCTATCTGTTTTGACCCCGAGCTTTGGGACTAAAGGTTGATGACGATATTATGATACAACTGATAGGTATCTAGTCATACACGTATGGCACGCACGGTTGTGCCCTTCCTTGCTTACTACGGGAACTCACTGTCACTACTACTGCGTGTAAGGTATAAGTCAGTGCTTTCAAGCATGCAAAGAGTCATTTGAGTCTCGTCAAATCTGAAAAGCTGAAGAGAGTAGTTTTCTCCACCGCTGAAAGCGTTATACCTTCAGCATGCCCGATATAGTAAGTTATGTTTTCATACTCCTAGGGGTTTTTCCTCTTCCAGTTGTTGAAAACGATTAGAAATATGCCCAAGAAGAATTGTGGCAAGAGACATCGGTCACTAATATATCGACCTCTGTGTATGGAACTGAACTGTAGATTTGCAAAGCAATGGAGCAAGAGTCAGTCGAGCCTCTACTGAACAGTGTTCTTTTTGACGTGTGGGAAGCAGCAGTATTACCTTTGTTGTCTCTTGCTGACATCTTTCAACTTTGTGGTGTTACGAGACACGTCCGCGACCTGCTGCATAATGAAACCATATTCAGGCGTCTATGTCAGTTGTGTGTTATGTGATGTTTATTTGCCAAAACTTGGTTCATTACATGTATAGTACTCTAAGTAGTTCAAAAAGACACTCCTCTTCGAGACAGTAATTTTTCTTCCATTGCACTAGCTGTTTCATACCATGTATTGTTAGAGTGGGACTTTCGGCTGACAGGTCTCGTTGTAATTTTGGTAATTATTAGTGCAGAAGGATTCCCCAAAGGCCTTCCCCTCAACGTTCCATAATGCCAAATCTGTAAAAAAAGCGAGCAATAGGTTAACAAAGAAAGAGAAAAAGACATAGTCTAGGGCAGAGCTCTGCGCTTGAGCATATTTGATGTGCCGCTACATATTCAACGGAATTCCACTGCAGTGAAACCAATGCTCATCGAACAGTTTGTGCTGTTCTTGCTTAAATTCGCTTAAACTGGCCAAGGTAATCTTAGGGGGCAGACAATTCCAGAGGTTTCTGTGTTTATGGACAAAGAGGTTTCAACAGCACTAGTCATGGTTTGCCAATGTCAGCTTACTTTGAAACTCATCGCTTACGATAACTTTTGACTATACATTGTATTATGGAAGATTGTTCGCATCCTAGTAGTGAACCGTGTGAACATATAAAAGGATGTGAGCTGGCCGGTGCTACATGTATTTTCTTCGGCCGGTATGGCTGGACTGTAAACTTCTCATCTGATGTATATAATACACACTGTAACAGTACAAGTCAAGTTTACAAACTAAATCTGTAAACTGCCTTTTACCCAATGTACCTGTTCATCATATGTATGTTGTCGTTGTTTTCCCATGCATGTAGAATCGCTACCAGATCAGTCCAAATTTGAAACTGTCGTACATCACAGTTGCCAAGCACCTATGCATCGCCACCAGAGTATCCAGCATACATAAAAGCGTATATGGTTCTGGCCTCGACTGTGTTGTGTTTAGAGATGATCCTCATGATCGATACAAGGTGTTCAAGCAAAAATACTCAATGTTCGTGCAATTGTGCAGCCTGGCGTTGATGCCGAGTACAGGACAGGCCCAAACCATTATGCGGTACAGTCTTCCGCTATCGAAGCCTTTGATCAGTATGCTTTCTCTGTCATCCAAAGTCACATCTTTCTACCTACCCAACCTTTCAATTTCAATGATTGAGAAACATTGTAGAGTATGGGGACAACCGGCGAAGTGCAGGTTAGAAGACGCGACGAATTTGCTGTTGGAGATGTGTGGTTCCTACGAAGAGTACCAAACATGTATCCTGAAAAATCTGGAACAGGATAATCCGGAGACTGCATCATTCTTGAAATATTCGAATCGCTCTTGCAGGCAAGTTGAGCTTGCAAAATGCTTTGAAATCGTTTCAAGAAGAGATCCAGAATTGCTCTTATCCCTAAGATGTGAGAATCTGATACCAACACCTCCTCAGCATATTTCTACTCGGTGGAGCTACAACTCATACGACTATATAAAAATCAAAGAAGGTGACAGTGACCTCAGCGTTGATGTTTTAGCCACTCATAATTGGATCAACTTCACGGAGCAGCTAGCAGAGCATCACTCAGTACTCAAGCTCTTGATCAAAGGAAGCCTACGTTTATCGCATTCGGAGGATTACTTCGTGACTGTCATGGCGTACGACAAGCTCTGGCACAGCCTGCCCCAGTGTTTTCGCCCAAGTCGAGATGTTCTCTATCGTGACCTGGGAAGCTACCTACTTTCCACTGTACCAAGGGTGCAGTGTGAAAAGGAACTGACCAAAGAGGAACTGCTGAACGCCATGGAACGGTATGGCGAGATGATTGTTGACAGTGCAACCCGCGAAGTGCGTTGCTGCGCGTGTATATCTTGCTGTATCCTGATATAGTTGTGGTTGTTGTAAGTTTGCCATCGTGGGCAATTTGGTCCATGACGCAATGCCACCACATGTACTTGTTAAGTCTGCACTGGGCTCTTTCGCTTTTTTGCCAATTGGATTTTGCTTGATTTTTCCTTTTCCCCAGTTGTTTAAAGTACTTTCTGTACTCCAAGCGGTTTATTTGGTTTACCTAACGTGGGACACACGTTGAGTTCCAGTTTCCAAAACAATGATGAACTGTAAGGGGTAATTCACGATTGACTGTAAAACCAGGCATGGCGACAAGAGAATAGTGGGCACATAATAGGGTATTCGCCAACGGACTTCACCGCTAGTTCAGCACATGCACGAATGACGCTGACTCACGCTGCTATCATGTCCATGTTTGCCATAGCTACCCAGGCCCTTTATATTACGCTGCTCTCTCTTAAACGCACTCTCCTCAACCCTATTTCCCTGCACTAAGTTATCTTCAATAATCACCATGTTGTCCTTTCGTTCGTCTTGGTCTCTTGTCCCGTTTCTAATATATGGCCCAACTTCTGTGAAAACCAGGCTTAGGGTGAAAATCATAGTTTTCAGAAAAATGATGTTTTGTAAAAAGGTTGTGTCGCTTAGACGCTCGAGTGCAGTGAAGTGGAACCAAAGAGAATCTCGCTTGTTTGAAGAAGTAGCAGTCATGGCAGGAAGGGTTTCAGCAGTCAGGTAAGTCAAAGGGCTTCCGTTAGAATTCCAAAATGAACTGACGATATCGGGCATGCAGCAGTTACAGCATTTTCAATCGTGGAGAAAACTAATCTCGTCAGCTGATTTTCAGAGAGTTACTTGCTCTTCGCATGCTTGAGAGCACTAACTTCTACCTTACATGTACATGTACAAGTAGTACTAGTGACGCTAGGCAGTGGGTTCCTGTAGAAAGCAAGAAAGGTCACAAATGTGAGTGCCCTACAAGTATGATTAATACCTGTCTCAGTAGGACGTGCAACATATCGCCATGAACTTTTATTCCCACAGCTCGCTGATGCGATACATGTAGCTCAAGCTAAAGTCTAATTATTCCAACAGAGGCCTACTTGTACCTAACAGTTGGCTGTCTCCAGTGTGCCTTTTGGGCACAACGTCTACTTGATATAACTGCGACTCACTATACAAGCGCCAGCGTGGGGACAACATCTCTCCCAACTAATCACGGCATTTTCCCATTAGCCCCATCCCTCACACAAACAAGTCAACAAAGAGGCATCTTTGGATTGAGGAGTGCTGGTTTCGAAACAACTGGTTTGAAGCTCAAAGAAGAGCTGGTATTAGCTCAGAGCAGAGCTGGTGTTAGCTCAGAGCAGAGCTGGTGTTAGCTCAAAGTAGAGCTGCTGTTAGCTCAAAGTAGAGCTGCAGTTAGCTCAAAGTAGAGCTGCTGTTAGCTCAAAGTAGAGCTGCTGTTAGCTCAAAGTAGAGCTGCTGTTAGCTCAAGGTAGAGCTGCTGTTAGCTCAAAGTAGAGCTGCTGTTAGCTCAAAGTAGAGCTGCGGTTAGCTCAAAGTAGAGCTGCTGTTAGCTCAAAGTAGAGCTGCTGTTAGCTCAAAGTAGAGCTGCGGTTAGCTCAAAGTAGAGCTGCTGTTAGCTCAAAGTAGAGCTGCTGTTAGCTCAACGTAGAGCTGCAATGCTAAATGGATGTAATATAGCGCAAGGCAGAGCCGCAGCAAATAGCTAGATAACACCAGTTGTGAGAGTGGACCCGATTAGTGGGTACGATAATTGTGATGGTGTGAATAAGTTGGATAGGGAGGGATGGTGGGAAAAGAAACACTGCTGAAGCACGATCCGTTGTCTGGAAGAGCACAACAGGGCAAGCAAGATTTGTTTTTCTTTTCCGCAAAATGGGCTGGTGCCATTTGTGATTACGCAGCAAAACAAAGCGCATGACGTCAGTCTTGAATGCAGTACAAAGCAATGCAGTGCAGTGTGTGCGCTAGTTCGGATTGTTGCTAACAAGTACTAGCACAGCTAGTACACCATTAGCCCCATCCCTCACACAAACAAGTCAACAAAGAGGCATCTTTGGATTGAGGAGTGCTGGTTTCGAAACAACTGGTTTGAAGCTCAAAGAAGAGCTGGTATTAGCTCAGAGCAGAGCTGGTGTTAGCTCAGAGCAGAGCTGGTGTTAGCTCAAAGTAGAGCTGCTGTTAGCTCAAAGTAGAGCTGCGGTTAGCTCAAAGTAGAGCTGCGGTTAGCTCAAAGTAGAGCTGCTGTTAGCTCAAAGTAGAGCTGCGATTAGCTCAAAGTAGAGCTGCTGTTAGCTCAAAGTAGAGCTGCTGTTAGCTCAAAGTAGAGCTGCTGTTAGCTCAAGGTAGAGCTGCTGTTAGCTCAAAGTAGAGCTGCTGTTAGCTCAAAGTAGAGCTGCGGTTAGCTCAAAGTAGAGCTGCTGTTAGCTCAAAGTAGAGCTGCTGTTAGCTCAAAGTAGAGCTGCGGTTAGCTCAAAGTAGAGCTGCTGTTAGCTCAAAGTAGAGCTGCTGTTAGCTCAACGTAGAGCTGCAATGCTAAATGGATGTAATATAGCGCAAGGCAGAGCCGCAGCAAATAGCTAGATAACACCAGTTGTGAGAGTGGACCCATGAAACCAGCACTCCGTTAGCTAAGCACTATTGACGCACAGCAAGGTTCAATTATTGTCAGCACAGGCAAGCATTGCGCAGCTAGAGTTCAGTAGCTCATTACTCACCCGAGTTGGGGATCATGGCATCCATGACACGGCAGCAAGCCGGGACGATAGCTGGCGCTTAGCACTTGTTGTAGTCCGGATGTAGCATAGACACGCATCGCTCTTTCCACTGACCTGCCACTCGGAAGAAGGAGTCGGGGGCACTAGCCATAGCAGCGGTGGTGGCTGTACCAATGTGGACCGAATGCCCGGAGTAGTTCGACTGGGATGGTACACCGGCCGCAGCGACAAGAGACCATACTGTTACTGTGAATGACTACCTGGTCAGCTGCTGTCTGTTCGAGAGTACGAACAAGAGTTGCTCCGATCCCTCGCGATGAGTGACAAATGGGAAGCTAATAATGGCACGGACCGGGCAGTACGGCGGTACAGACGGGCCAATGTCACTAGTAACGCCTTTACCGAATGGGTCCGTCTTGGATGAAAGCAGGAAGAGTTGCAGGCGTCCGTCACCAGGGGAGCTAGTACAGCCCCGTGTGATGCCAGCATTAGTGAATTCAGCACACCGAAGAAATCCAAAGAAGCAGCATGGCGGCTTGGTAGAGCAGCTTGTCATGGCCATTCAGGATACTACTGTTCCGGCGTGCATCCGTCAGGTGTCGTAGGATTGGCATAGTTATAGGAAGGCGAGGGGTGAGTACAGCCGTACCATGGCATCGCTGGATGCCCTTCAACACCCTCTTCAGAAGCCACGCATCTACTAAGGGGCCGGCAAACCCATTCTCAAGGTGGGCTTTATGCACCGCACTCGCATACACCGATACAGTGGTTCAGGGCACGCTGATCATAGTTCACGCATGAATGTGTGTCCAGGGACGATGACTCGGGCAGCAAAAGTGAGCTTTCCCAGGAGGGACTCGAGTTGACGCTGGCCGATGCTGCACTCGCTGATAGTAGCCATGAGTGGCGCATGGATCTCGGACAGCTTGTCCTCTGGTAGCCGAGCTTCGTGGCGCTCGCAGTCTAGGACAATACCAAGGAAGGTCAATGATGGTGATGGCCCTTTGAGCTGGGATGGAGCAAAGAGTGCTGAGATACGTGAATGCCCGGAGGGGGGATGGTGAGTTGCTGGTTGGCTGCAGCCAAGCCAGTGGAGATATCGAGAAAGTCATTGAGGTAATGAAGCCGGTGATCTATACCAAACTCGTGCTGCATGATCCAGTTGACTGCTGTGGCTACTGAGTCAAAGACGGCTGGGCTGGAGCGGAGGCCGAAAGCGCTCGTAGTAGTAGGAGCCTTCCCAGCGAAGTCCTGACGGCGGACTGGGATCTGCCGAAATGCACTGCGTACATCGAGCTTGGACAAATACACAGGCTGTGGGCATGACATGATGATGTTGATCGCGTTGTCAATGCTCGCGTAGTGCAGGGAGAGCGGCTCGGCAGGAATGCTGTCGTTCGCGCCGGTGCCTTCCGGACTAGACAGATGGTGGATCATTCGCAGCTTGCCGTTCTTTTTGGGGATGGCACCAAAACCAGAGCGGCGCATGAACTGAAATGGAGGTGACGGAAATGGGCCTGTGGTCTCGCTGCGGGCGCAGGAAGCAGCTAATTGCTCGGATATAAATGCCGCGTGAGTGAAGCCAAGGGTAGATTATTAGAGAAAACCGAAATGTCGTGTTGGCCGGCAGATCCAAGAGTAAAGCCACGGCGCAGGCCATGGAGAACATACGCAACACATGATTGATCTGAGTGGTTACGTAACAGGCGGGCAAAGTGGTCAGCTAGCAGTGTGGTGTCTGCAGAGTGTATAGGACAGAAGCTACGTACCGAGTCGAGCGATTCAGTAGCCATTCTGCTAGGAGCGGCGGGGTGGCCGATTGGCTCCGCGCTGCTGCTGGTTGCACATGATGCATGGGTGGTCCTTGCCACACTGGCTGCAGGTGTGGGAGAAGCGGCACGACGACGAAGAACAGCGACCTCCATTGAAGTTGCGGCAGATTTCTTGGCCGTCGCTGGTATGGTTGCGACCACTGGAGGTAAATGCTGCTGGCTTGGGGACGAAAAGGACACAAACCGCCCCTGGATGGACCGTCTTACATTGAGCGCATTTTGGGTGTGCATGGCCTGTGACAGCTATCTGCCATAGGTTAACGTCGATGGTGTCCAACCTCTTCTTGCCTGGTTACTGGGCCACGAGCATCCGCAGCTGGCGGTCGTACTCTAGCCACGCGCTTGGGAAGAACTGGCGGTTAGCAGTCAGGATCAACTGCTGGTACGCAATCTGTGCAAAAGTTCAGCAGTGCGGTGTAGGGCAGCAGCCGTGATAACAGACATGTATGTGGTCCATGCCTCGAGCCGGGTAGCTACATGTATAATTATCGTGAACCTTGCGACGCGCCTGCTTCGCGTCATCCGACTCAACGATATTTAGCTGGCTATCGTTATTCGGGCTGTGCACCAGCCGGAATGTTGGGCCGGAA